CTCTTTAACAAATGGTGCTGGCAAAACTGGATGATGAAACAGGACCCATACCACATCCCATACACAAAAACAAATTCAAGCTGGACCAAAGACTTAAATGTAAAACCTAAAACTATAAAATTCATCAAAGATAAAATAGAGGCAAATCTGGGAGCCCTAATTTATGGCGTAAATAGACTATCAAGCATAACCCAGAATATGCAGGAGATAGAAGACCAGCTAGATGACTGGGACATTTTAAAAATTCATTTCTTATGCACATCGAAAGATTTCGTCAAAAGGATAATAAGTGAACCTACAGATTGGGGAGAAAATATTTTCCTATCACATATCTGATAAAGGACTTATCTCCAAAATCTATAGAAAACATCAAAACCTCAACACCAAAAAGACAAATAACCCAATTCACAAATGGGCAAAAAACTTGAACAGACACTTCACCAAAGAAGATATACAGGCAGCCAACAAACACATGAGAAATTGCTCACAGTCATTAATCGTTAGAGAAATGTAAATCAAAACAACAGTAAGATATCATCTCACCCCGGCAATAATAGCAGAGTTCAACAGGTAAGAAAATATCAAATGCTGGTGAGATTGCAGAGAGATTGGAACTCTTGTGCACTGCTGGTGGGATTGTAAAATGGTACAACCATTATGGCAAACGGTATGGTGTTTCCTTAAAAAGCTGAAAATAGAAGTACTATTTGACCCAGCAATTCCATTACTAGGAATATATCCTAAAGAGGTGACAGATAGCGCACGGGCAGACATATGTACACCTGTGTTCATCGCGGCATAATTCACTATAGCAAAGAGATGGAAACAACCTAAATGCCCATCGACGGAGTGGATAACAAAATTATGGTACATGCACACAATGGAGTACTATGCTACATTAAAGAACAATGAGGTATATGCAAATCATCTCACAACATGGATGAATCTGGAGAACATTGTGCTGAGTGAAATAAGTCAATCGCAGAAAGACAAGTAGTGTATGAGCCCATTACTATAAAAAGAGGTTTGCTTGGGAAAGGGAACTCACTTTGTAGGTTACCGGGATGGGGAGGAAAGGGGACGGATTAATTTTGGGCTAGTTGGGGCCCACACACTGACATGGGTAGGGGGAGGGATATACAAAAGGATCTCTGACCACCATGATAACATTAGGAAATGGGAAGACATTAAATCGTGTATATAAGAGATAGACAACAGATGCTAATGCCAACCAATGTGTCCATAATACTGCATTGCCATTAACACCAAACACCAGGCTACAGATAAACATATAAACACCTGAGACAATCAGACAGGGGTCAGTGAACAGAAGCATACTCTAGACCAAGGATAGATTCAGCTGAGGCTAATCTTGCACAGACACCAGTAATACAAAATACCTGCTATCCTTACAAAAGCAATAGAAGACAAACACAGAGTAATCCCTCACAGACAACCAGACACTATGGGAGAGAGATCCAATAGATCCGCTGTCTCAGGACAATAGTACTGGAGGGGCACCAGACTCAATTGACACACAAAATACATAAAAGCCTTGTTCTGCATCCTACATTGGTGAGTAGTGACTGGGTCTTAAAAGCTTTCAAGCAGCCATATAAGATGCAACTAATGGGAGCTCTGGTAGCGTAGTGGCTAAGACACTTGCCTGCTAAGTGTCGGCTGGCGGTTCAAACCCACCAGCCACTCCTCGGAAGGAAGGTTGGGCAATCCTACTTCCATAGCGATACTGCCTCGGAAACCCAAGGAGGGGTCACTATGAGTCGAGGCCGACTCGACGGCACATAAAAACAACAACAACAATGGTCTCCTAGGGTCAGAAGCAAAGAAGTGTGCAAAAATACAAGGGCATTTGGAAGCAATCAGCCCTAGGACACAATGGCCCTCGAGACCAGAAGAATTAGATGGTGCCTGGCTACCAATGCCAACCACTCAGGAAAGGATCAAATCTGGAGATCCTGGATAGAGTGGGAGGAAGAACGTGGAACAAAATCCAAAAATTTAATAATGACCAGAATTACTGGTCAGATGAAATCTGACGAGACTCCCAATACCATGGCCCTGAAATACATTCTGCGCCTGGAGTAAAGCACACCCCCAGAGGCTGGCTCTCAGCCCAATAGTTAACAAGATGTACACACAGACCACTCAACTCAAAATGACACACCCACATACTCTATGGTAATACATCCCTTAGAGCAATAGCCCACGGGGCATCAGAAGACTAACATTCAAATTGAGAAAGTGCAAGACAAATGGGAGTGCATGAGTATGGGGGGGCACAAGGGAAGGGTTGCGGGGTGGGGAGAGGAGGAGAGTGGGTTGGGGTTGGACATGGTGAATGGAGAGTAAAAAAGTTTTAAAAAAAGAAAGATTTTGAAAATTTAAAAAAAAAAAAGTATGAAGAATTTCAAGCCAGAAAGTAACTGCCAGAAATTACTGCAGAATGTTTCTATATAACAGTTTAATAAAATCTTTACTAATCAAAAGATGGTTAAGGACAAAATACGTAATGCACAGGATAGGTACATTTCATCTTTGCCCTTAGAAAAACACTAGATAACATATCATGATAAGGGGTATAGAGTTTGAAGATCTACCTTCTGCTCTCCATGTTTCTTGCCAGCAGAATATACAACAGTTTTTAGTTAAATAGGGACCAAGCTATCAATGCCATCAGTGGTATTTCAATCTCCTGGTAACCCCCAAAGCAAGAATCTTGGTAAACAATGCATTTGAGACCTAAGGCTGGTGTGGTGCTTTCTACTCCCTCTCTGTGAATTGAAGACTAGGAATGCAAGGTTAACTTACCCACCTAGTCATAGGTAGAGAAAATGGAAAACAGAATGGCAGGCATTTCCCATCAATGCCCTGCCCAGATACTCTTTCAGCGTAAGAAGAAGAAGCACAGGATGACCTTCCTTCTTTGGGTACAAGAATGAAACAGCAGGCATGGTTCCTGCCCTCTAGTAAATAGAATAATGAATATCAGGCTCTCTTAAATCAAATTAGCCATTTCTCTTAATGAAAGAAATTGTAGAAAAGAAGATGGAGAGGTTAGAGATTTTCTGTTTAGGCCAAGACTCCAGTAGGGAAATAGCCAAAATGTTCTTTCTTATGGTCATCACCACATAGAATAAAAACTACTTTTAACTATATAATTGTTGCTGGTATTGCATTTAATTTTCAAATCAGTTACAAATCTATATATACCTGGCATTTATCTACAGTGATTTATTATTTATGTTAATATTGTGTTGGTTACCTAACCCTTGAAGGGATTTTCTGTTTGCTTAGTGAATATTCCATTTAGATAGCTTGGAATACATTAAGACTTTTCAGTTGTTGTTGTTGTTGTTGTGTGCCGTCGAGTCAGCCCCGACTCATAGC